TTGTTTCCTCCACAGGGGTAGTGACAGGCGCTGTTGTTGTATCCTCCATAGAGGTAGTGACAGGTGCTGTTGTTGTTTCCTCCACAGGGGTAGTGACAGGCGCTGTTGTCGTATCCTCAGCAGGTGTAGTAACAGGAGCTGCTGTAGAGATAGACGCTGTTGAGCTGTCCCTACCAGGGGTAGTGATGGATGAGGTTGTGCTCTCCCATGTAGGGGTAGTAGCTGTTGTTGATGCTGGTGCCACAGTAGAAGCAAATCCGTGATGGTAATTACACCGATAAGAATCACAACAATCCTGGCGACAGTCTGAACCACCAAGATTAGTYAGACTTTTACAAAAATAGTTGTTCCCACACCATTGCTCATAGGTACAGCTTTTTCCGTAAACACGAAATTTGGTCGCATTGAGATASGAGAATGTCAAACATCGCTTCATAGAATCAGGACACACTTGTGGGACTTTGTTTTTATCGCATTTATCKATAGATAGGTAACCTCGAGGACACAACCAACACTCGAAATTCTGCCGTACTGAAATTGTTCAAAAGAAATATCATTTATAATTGTCAACTTTTCTGCTTTTCTTATCAGACTAGTATAAACTTGTCAAACTAACTAGAAGCTCATATGTCAAACTTATACAGTATGGTGTATATATTGAACAACCAATGCGCATTAAGCTGCTGTCAAAAGGAACTACTTTTTACATAACCACATGAAGTTACGTGGTAACTACTTTGTTTTGCCGGTCGAAACATACCTCGCACAGAGATTTGATGTGTTACATCTTAAAATTTCTCTTGAAATTTCTCGTGAAAGTGTCAGTTTGCTTCAAGCATAACTTTCAACATTTGGTACCATTAAAAACTATTTTCCCTTAGTTTGACTTAGCAACGTTGACGTCATGAAAGGTGCCGCGCCATTTCAAGTTACTAAAACAGCTCACAAATCTAAAAATCTTATTCGCATCAAACAAATATATCAGCTAGAAAAACATGTCTTTTAGAATACGGCACTAAATATCATTAAATAGTCAGTGATTGTTATCAAATATCACTGTATTCTCGCATACCTTTCATTAACTCAACGTAAATAACCAATGCGAGAATCAAGCCAAACGTTCTCAATAGGTTCATCTTTGTCGCTTCGGAGAGTAGTTTTGTGGGCGTTGTCTAAACGTGGATATTTTATCGTCAGACGAAATGCGGCATTAAGAGACGTAATTCCAATATTTTCATAAGATTTAACCCTAATGCTCCACAAATTAGATCCAGCTTTACTTAAATCTAGTGTTTAATTACTTGTGCGCCCTTGTTTGTCTAATGTATAATTGCATTGCAAACGGTGTGACGTCATGATTTGTAAATAAACATTTCTTTTTCAAATCTTTGAAAAAAAGAAAGAAGAAAAAAAAAAAACAAAAACTCACGAATCAACTTTAAAGTAACAATACTTTATATACATGTCCTAGTGAAATCATTTACAAATTATTTTTCATGTTGGATAAACTTTCAGTGTATCTTTTATAACACAAATTCAGTGAAAAAAGCTAGGTATCTAAATTGAACTGAAGATGAAAATAATTATAGTGTTAATATGCTGGTTGATTTACTCAGCAAAAACCGTGTTACCTTTTTAACCTACGCTGCTAAACGTTAAATATAATTTAGCTCTGTGTACGGACCAGCACAGGCAACCCAAGACCTTAATGAGTGGTTATAGTGCTTCGTTTTCATGTCAATTTGTATGCAATTACAGGCTCTTATAAATTCCTAAAGACTCAAATTAGGTGGACAAAATAGCTGTTTGCCTAGAGCTCAAGAAATGTTTAYTACTGTTACCTCCACAATCATAAATACGAGTCATGGGCTTCCTGTCTTTTTTCTGGGAGCTAGCAAAAGAGGGAGAATAGGCCTTTTCTGAGATAGCAGTTTGCATTGCATTGTGGTCTAGATTCAGTACTAACATCTTCGGTTCATGTTGCCAAATATGGTGTTGTTTGTTGTGAAACTCAGATTTTGTATTTCAGAAAAGGTCTATGAAAGCAAGAGCAAGAGAGGARRGGCGCTAGTCTATAACAGTCAATATGACYATTACAAAGGAATCYCACAGGAGAAAGAARAGATGTGAARGGAGTAGGCTAGTTCCAAGTGACTTGATATCAAGGTGATTGAGAAAGAAAGAACTTATCTAGCTGATGTTTCTTAGCATTTAGTTTTATAGAAAATGTCTTGTGTCTTCTCTTATGTTCCAGAAAATTGCTTGACGAATGATTTATAGTCCATGACCTCTCCCTCTCCAGTGAGCGGYGTCATATCGATAAAGTCATCTAAATTCATTAYGCATTCTGAAAATATACAAACATATCGATAAATAAAGTGTCTAACACTTACACAGCAAGAATGGCCAAGCACAAGGGAAACTATCTCTCCCATACAAGAGCTCTATAAGAATATTTAGTTTACTTCATGATTGCACTTTATCTTATGAAAATGTGCTTATAATAGAGGCACTGGAAAAAAATGCCTGTTTTTATCTTGTTTCTCTGATGAAAAAGTCCAGACTTTTCTCTTTATTGAAAAATTCAGGAGAATGTTTGCAACGGATAGGAAAAGAAAAATGGAAAGAAGTTGAAAAAGATGGGAAAAGGAGACTTTAAACTCACCAGTTGTTCTGATAGGTGGGTAGGCTGGCGGATCTTTAATCCACTCTCCATTTGGTTTCTTCATGTGGGATCTATCTGATGCAAAAYGTTGCAAGAATGTTCTTGCTGGTATAACTCGAAACTTCCTGGAAACCAAACAACAAATTCACCAATAAAAAAGAAGAAAATGGTAAGAAAAAATGTCTCTTTCAAGAGGATTTTCCAAAGGATTTCTTACCTGTGAAACTGCTTTTTAAGCTGTTTATCACTTTGAATTGCTCGTTCAATGAACTGATCAAAGACGCAAGGAAATGGAAGTATGGAGTCCAGGTCATAAACAAGGACACGACCATCTGATGTTTTCCATATCAAAATTACATGGTAGTCCTTTAACAAATATTTATAATTTAGTAGCTGCAGATAAGTAAAATGACCAATACACCAACCATTCATTCAATTCAATAAATATTAAAAAAGCTTGTATAAAGGAATGCTAAATGGTGATGATCTTTCAATAATTTGAGGAAGAGAAAAGAAAAGAAATCCTTCAAGGTGTGTTTTACATACCCACACAACAGGAGCTAGAGTGTCTTTAGCAGATTTCTGCATCCATARGGGTACCTGAATTGTGTAAGTTCAAATTGAGCAACATAATTTAGTCTAATAAATTTGCCCTTTTGGGATACTCTTGACCACCAAAGGATATCACTTTTACTAGGTCCGAGGTCGCTTGGATCCCTCAATCATTGATTATTTTTTTGTGTATAATATTTAACATTGAAAAATCAAACAAATTAACATGTTTTAGACTCACATGTCTTCCATGATTTGATATAAAAACAACATTATATTCATTGATATCAGTGGTTCCCTCGTCTCTTATTCTTTCACATAGTTTCCAAACATTTTCTTCACTGAAAATAGATAAAAATCCAAACACAGGACAAGTAAGATTTAAGGTTGACTAATATTTTACACAAAAATGGAAAAAGTTAAAATTATAAAAAAATTTACCTTTACATCAGTGCTCCATTATTTAAAAAGTTAAATGGATAAAAATAAGATGAGAAAGTGAAAGAATTCACTATAACTGTGCTATTTCCCTTTTATCCTCTCCCATTCACTTTATGTACAACATGAGCCGAATACACGTGTATTGTACATGCCAGAGACATTGTGAAAGAAAAAAAAMCAAACTTTGTAGTCATTTCGTTCTCAGAATCACCATAAAACTCGACAAAATGACAATGTATAAGCTTATTAGCTCTAAATGAAGTTATTTAATCTATTAATTGTATATTGGTGGCGATATTTGAATGATTCCGGGCTGGGATCCGAAGGAAAAGCCCGCAATGTACAACCAAAACAAATGTCAAAACATCCCCTCAAAAAATTAACTAAAACGCAAATTTGGAAAGCCCTTGAATACTTGAAGCAAAAACCATTAGCATTCTTTCTTGTACTATAACAGTATCGATTGATGAAACCCGCTAAGCAAAGCAAAGATTAGACAATTTCAACATGAAAGTTTTCACACAAAAATGTTTCGTCAGATGCAAGAGCTCAAAGTCAATGTATCTCGTAAAAAAGAGTTAAAATTCATTTTTGGTGACGTAAACTTTGTAGAATTAAAGCCAATATAATGRGTATTATATATKAGTTCAATCTTACCAGTAACAGCTMGTATAAACACAGGTAGATGGGGAAAATTCCTTCTTATTTTCGGCCGTCATCTTTCGCCAGACTTCATTTTTCGACCACCTTTTCTTCGTGTGAACTAATTTACATAACGAAATCGAGGCATGACTTCAGATCGAGGCTTGAGACTCTGAAGCGAGGCGAGGTGTCCTGAAAGAAAAAAAATTAGAAAATAGAAATAGAAAAAAAGAGAGATAAGATAATATGTAAACCGTTTTCATTTATCACAAATTGAAATGGGAATAATGTGAATATTTTAGAATCAAAGACATATGGTAATTTGCTTCGTGGATTGACATTCAAGAAATTATTTTAAAATGATATCGAGGGATTTAAACAATCGCTTAGGTCAAGATAGATAAAAACTATTAATGAATATTATAAAGTCAAAGACTAGAAATATAAAAATTGAGATTCAGACGCTACCTACCCTCTGTCGGGTAAACAATCCGCTGGTCAAGTGAATCGCAACAAACAACATGGCGGACGAGCAAAATCTTGTTTTTGTCACTGTTGGCACTACAAGTTTTGATCGTCTCGTTGAAACAGCTTCAAGTCCTACTATATGCGAGGTAGTAGTTAGAGAAGTGCTATTCCTTCTTGTTTACCCGAAAATAATTCCCGATATCTGTAAAAAAACTGGTTTATCTTTATGTTCCAGGTTTTTAAAAGACTCGGTTACAAAAAGCTTTTATTACAAATTGGGAGAGGAGAGTTTGAACCAGAAACTTGCTCAACTGGTCAGTTTACTGTAGAGTATTATCGATATAAAGAATCCATTGCAGACGATATCAGAAGGGCTTCGTTGGTCATTAGCCATGCAGGTAAAATTAATAAACATCAGATTATGAATGCCACATTGAGAAATACCTATGATACACTGACGCAGCTAATGCTAGTTAACCGGGGGGGAGTACTCCCCCCAACTTGGGTGGGGGTGTGCCTCTGGAACCTCAAAACCCTGACCCTGTTTCAGAGTAAAATCCAGCACTAGCTTGCGTGTAGACCGAATTTTTACCCCAGAAATTTTTACCCAGTATCAATAATTCTGGAATAGATGAGGTGACGGTTTCGGCCGCCATTTTGCTCCGGTAGGCAAAGTGTCGCAAAATAACAAGGAATGACYGGGAAATCGATGTSAAATAATTCTCGCTGAATTCAAATTCCGAAAGAATTATCAATTGCAAACGTTAGATACTGCAAAAAGGAGTTAACTGGCAAAATTTGAAAGGCGTACTTGATCTAGAGAGCGAGTTAACTCATTTTTAGTTCTCCATACATTTCTTTGTATTTTTCACGCGCGTCACGCACTGATGACCCCGGAAATGATAACGAAATGTATTGAAATTACAAAGAAATGTATGGAGAACTAAAAATGAGTTTACTCGCTCTCTAGATCAAGTACGCCTTTCAAATTTTGCCCGTTAACTCCTTTTTGAGGTATCTAACGTTTGCAATTGATAATTCTTTCTGAATTTGAATTCAGCGAGAATTATTTGAMATYGATTTCCCGGTCATTCCTTGTTATTTTGCGACACTTTGCCTACCGGAACAAAATGGTGGCCGAAACCGTCACCTCATCTATTAAACTGGCTCTGAGAAAATTTGTTGAAATCGATACCCTGTTCCAGAGTAAAATCGCTGAAAACTAACTATACCCTGTTCCAGAGTAAAATTGCTGAAAACAATACCCTGGTTGGCGGCACGTACTCGTATAGTGAATATAGGGGAGTACCCCCCCCCCCCCCCAGGAGAATACCCCAAAATAAAAAGAAACCTAACTGTACAACTATAAATATTAATATCTATGTAATGATAACTTATTAATGGCGTTTAGGATCAGGAACAACCCTTGAAGCACTCCAGGCGGGTCGTCATCTCATAGTCGTTATCAATGAAGACCTAATGGGAAATCATCAGTTCGAATTAGCAAAACAGTTAGCTAAAGACAATCATTTATATTACTCAACTTGCAGGTACTTTAGTGGCATATTTAATGATATAAGTCTCCAGTAAAACTAATATACATAATTACAGTGGGAGGGGGGCTGGGTGGCTATTGCTGCAAATGTTTGCTTTGTTGATGACCACTGTTGGTGTCTGCCAACAAAATCATAACCCATTTATAGAATTCATTACATGCATGAGTATGTCAAACTATGGATGTAAATGACAGTTTTCTCCATTCTCACTAGTTCATTACAGGACGTTCTTGAAGATCAAGACTTGAGTAACCTGGTMCCMTTTCCTCCTGGGAATCCAAAAGTGTTTGGTTCATACATGAACTCTGTTATGGGTTTGTCTGATAAATGATATGCTATGAAGTATATATACTAACCTAAACCCCAGTTTCACAATCCCAGTGTGGCAAARACTGATGGTTTGTGCAATATACATGGAGATTTGTGAATACATGTGCACTAAGGGCTGAGGTCGATAAGAAGTGAAGCTACAGGGAGCCTAAAATGGGCTATATACAGACAAAGTTGCAGACTCCTATCCTTCATTGCCTCTCCTTTTGCTAGGCTTTCTGTCCATCCCAATAGGAGGAAATTTGATGATACCAAAATGACTAGGCGTGAAGAGAAATGATGCTGATAACTCTCGGTTGAGTTTTCTTCTCTAATTCTAMACTTTAAGTTAGGGATGACTTTTGTCAAATGTATTTCTAAAAAAAACGTACTTGTGAGTAAGCTGACAATGTCTAGTAAGTTATATGAACAGTTCAATAGGATAGATGCAAATGTAGGGTTGTTAGGGCATCTAAAAATGTTTTACCCTCTAGTAAAAGACAGATGAACTCTCATATCTCACATACTTCATTTGCCAAGAAAGTGGGTTCTGTAACTMCCTGCRCAAGACCCTGAAATAGGCCATTTGCATTATGGCTTAACTTTACTACAACAACCAGAGAACCTTGCACATTTTCAATGTTATTCAGATTTTTACTGTAATCCCC